ATGCAATGACTTGCGGTGAGTGAATCGAGCTTGTTAAGTAGTGTACTTGCTGTTACTGTTTTGCTAGGCTGAATCTGTTATTTCGTGATGCTATGTAAACCTGATCCTACTAGTCATTCTATGCATAATCTGGAGATGTTCACTAAGGGTGTTTTGTTCTACATGTCATGCTCTATCCATTCATGCCCCTTGTTGCATTTATAGCCTGCTGTAGCTTGTTGTAATCTTGCTCCAAAGTTGCTAAATAATGTTGCTGTCAGCCTGTTAACATTAAGTTCAGTTGCCATGCTTGTTGTTAGTGACACATGCGCCCTATGAACTTGTTATTGCCATGCTTAGCTTCATAATCATGTCTTCTTACTGTTGGTTGTCTTGCCATGCCATGTATTGCTCTGTGGTGAGTGGTACAAGCTCATCTACATGCCTACTTATCATTGTTCCTGCCATGTTTGAATCTGTAATATAACTTGCTATGTTTACATGGGTGCCATCATATCTTCTGATCCTTTTTGGCTCTTGGTCAGTAAAGGACTTTTGTTCTATGCATTTAGTAGTATCATGCCATGCCTCTTTTTTGCCATGATAAGTTTCTGTAACATGTTGCTTGATAGCTCTAAACATTGCAACCTGATGTTATTTTCTGCAAAGTCTGAACTGATATTATTTGCGATCTTGCCATGTGTGTTTGAGCATTTTCTAGTGATTTCTGGAGATAGCTTAGTGTTCATGTTTTGTTATGATTTACCTGTACATCATGCCCATGTCTTTTGTTTTCTTGTTGAGGTCCTGTAGCATGTTGTTTTGATGCTTGCAATATGCCTAATTGCTGTTTTGGACAGATTGTTGCTATAACTTGTATAGTGTGTATGGGTTGAACCGTTGCTCCGTTTTGAGTATGCTCTATATGAAACTTGCTTAGTTTTGCATGTAGTTTCATATTATCATTTTGCATCCTTGTTTTGAGGTGTTTGCTTGATGTTTGTATGCATTTTGCATCAATGCCATGTTTAACTTGTTTTGCTCATATCTTCTAGGCCGTAGCTCCAAATCTAAATGAATTTTATATGTAACTTGACTAGAATCTCATGTAGATCATCTTTGTGCATCTTAACTTGCTGTTTAACAACTTGAACATAAGGTTTATTCATATCTGGACCAATTTCAAAATATGCATATGAGGACTTACCGGGATTGTTATATGTTGTTCCCGGCCTCATTTAAACTTGCCTTGATGTGTTGCTCTTGTTTGCATCATCTCTTGCCATGAGTAGTTTCATGTAGCTTTGTCATGCATCATGCTTGTTGTGCATCATGTCTTGTCTATGTGTGGTGTGTTTACTATGTTGTGTGCTTCTTCTCGATAGTTCCCGTTTCGTTGCGATCGTGAGGATTCGTTCGTCTACGCTTGGTTCGTCTTCGTGGCTTCATCCGTTCGTCTTCTTCATGGACTCGTTCTTCTTCCTTGCGGGATTTCAGGCAAGATGACCGCTACCCTGGATCTCACTACTATCATTGCTATGCTAGTTGCTTCGTTCAATCGCTTTGCTGCACTACCTATCTTTTGCTCATCAAGCCTCCCAAATTGCCATGAACCTTTAACCTTTGACACTATTCCTAGCAAACCATTGCTTGGCTATGTTACCGCTTTGCTCAGCCCCTCTTATAGCGTTGTTAGTTGCAGGTGAAGTTGAAGATTTCTTCATGGTGGACAGGATTTTGGTTGGGATATCACAATATCTCTTATATTATTAATGCATCTATATACTTGGTAAAGGGTGGAAGGCTCGGCCTTATGCCTGGTGTTTTTTTCCACTCTTGCCGCCCTAGTTTCCGTCATACCAGTGTTATGTTCCCGGATTTTGCGTTCCTTACGCGGTCGGGTGATTTATGGGACCCCCTTGACAGTTCGCTTTGAATAAAACTCCTCCAGCAAGGCCCAACCTTGGTTTTACCATTTGCCTCACCACCACATATATTTCCCTTGGGAGTAATTAACCCAAGGGTCATCTTTATTTAAGCCCCCCCCCTCCCGGGCCAATGCTTGTCTAAGTGTTGGTCCAAACTAGAGCACCATGCGGGGCCATCCCTTGGCAACTTGGGTTACGTTGGTTCCTGTACGCTTCGCTCATCCGGTGTGCCCTAAGAACGAGATATGTGCAGCTCCTATCGGGATTTGTCGGCACAGCGGGCGGTCTTGCTGGTCTTGTTTTACCATTGTCGAAATGTCTTGTAAACCGGGATTCCGAGTCTGATCGGGTCTTCCTGGGAGAAGGTATATCCTTCGTTGATCGCGAGAGCTTATCATGGGCTAAGTTGGGACACCCCTGCAGGGTATAATGTTTCGAAAGCCATGCATGCGGTTATTGGCAGATGGGAATTTGTTAATGTCCGGTTGTAGATAACTTGACACCTGATTCGAATTAAAACGCATCAACCGTGTGTGTAGCCGTGATGGTCTCTTCTCGGCAGAGTCCGGGAAGTGAACACGGTTTTGGGTTATGTTTGACGTAAGTAGGAGTTCAGGATCACTTCTTGATCATTGCTAGCTTCACGACCGTTCTGCTTGCTCTCTTCTCGCTCTTATTTGCGTATGTTAGCCACCATATATGCTTAGTTGCTGCTGCAACCTCACCACTTTACCCCTTCCTTTCCTATTAAGCTTTGCTAGTCTTGATACCCATGGTAATGGGATTGCTGAGTCCTCGTGGCTCACAGATTACTACAACAACAGTTGCAGGTACAGGTTATGCGATGATCATGACACGAGAGCGATGCTTGATTGCGTTGAGTTCTTCTTCTGCTTCTTCGATCAGGGGATAGGTTCCAGGTCGGCAGCCTGGACTAGCAGGGTGGATGTCGTTTAAGTCTCTGTTTGTGTTTCATCCGTAGACGGATGATGCTCTTATGTATTGTGATGTTGTATTCGTGTGGCATTGTATGCCTCTTGTATGTATCCCCATCTATTATGTAATGTTGATGTAATGATATCCACCTTGCAAAAGCGTTTCAATATGCGGGTCTATCCTTGGTGGGACCTTCGAGTTCCTTTTGGATAGGGTCGCATATTGGGCGTGACAACTCCTCCTGCCAACCTCCACACCGTCACCGCTGCTGGAGCTATGCGGAGCTCACCACCCACAACAACTCTTCCCCGAACACCTGAGCCTCCCGAGACAGCGCCTCCATGGAGGGTACGACGCTCAAGACGCTGCCGCCGCCCAATCCAGATGGAATTTTGGACTTCCGTCCGGGAGGGGTTCGGAGGTGGATAGGAGGGACCTCGACTTAGCCTCTAGGGAGGGTAACGGCTTCGAGGGACGTCGCCGATGATGGGCCGAACCAGCCGACCAAAGTTTCCTCCGGTCCCCATCCTATACCACCAAACCACCGTTTGCTCCGGATCCGGCAGCGAGCCGTGAACCGAAACCTGCAGAGATGAAAGTGCCATGGTGCTCAACCCACCAGGAAGGAGGATCAAAAAGAACAGTCGTCGTAGATCATCCAGGCGTCGAATTCATCAATCAGACATGGCCAGCGATGAACACCACCACCCCGCGCCAGCCGACGGCGTCCAAGCGCCGGATCCAGAGGGATCTGACCTGAACCCGGCGACTCCCGCGACCACCCGGTCTTGCCCACTCACCCCGCTGGTCTAGCCCCAACCGATCTAGAGGGTGGCCGCCGCTCTGCTACTCCTTGCAGGGATCAGATCGGGACCTTGCCGCCGGAAGGAGCCACACCTGGACGAAGCGACCCCGCCTCGAGCACGCACCTCCACATCATGCATCGGGCCTCATAGCATGGCCAACACCAAGCAGCCGCTCCCCGGAGGGCGCCTTAGCCCTGCTGTAGTCCCACGCTGATCCGCCCGAGGCCTGCAGTGAGCCGCCACCGACGGGACCCAAGCCGGGAGAGAGAGAACGCCCCGCCGCCGCCGTCCTCGAACCCGCGCAGGCTTTGCCAGCAAGGCCTCAGGCGCCGGCGAGACAAGGAGTCTGGTGGACTGCCTGCGGCGACGATATTGGATCGCCCCTGCCGTCACCCGAGCGGGATGACCCGGGGGGTGCGGGAACTTAAATTGGGGGAAAATTTCACTTCCCCGGCCTCTGCACCAACTAGGGATGCATACTGCCTTTTAAGTATGAGTACTAGGATTTTTAATCTCGATTACGCACCGAGCCTGGTCCTCAATAAATGCGTGAGTACCAGGAAAGCCTGGTCCTCAAGAATATATAGGAACCTAAATTCGCCTCCGTGAGGATTTGAACCCAGGTGTTGGGTTTGTACATCCACTCCCCCAACCAGTTGAGCCAGGCTAAAATTCATATGGAATCGAATCCTATGAATCAAAGGACCAACCTAGAAAAAATTCCTAAGGATTTCAATTCTCCAAAAAACCTATAGAATTCCTTTTAATCATAGGATAGCTTGCTCTTTGGATAGGGTTGCAAGAGAGGTCCCCGCTAGGCCCGCAAAACATGAGAAAATAGTATAAAATGAACTAGACGTGTCGAACTCTCCTAGCGAAAGATTCACAAGCTTGAAAGAAGGGACGGGTTTCTGGCGGGCTGCCTCTTGCACCCCTCCTTTGGAGGGTTTACTCATATGTGAAGTGGGTTAAAATGAACGGGAAGGCAGGGCAAAAAATGTCATCCAGGATCTTGCCATAAAGAACAACAACCTAGAGAGAATCAAGGATTGTGAGGCTAAAAAGTTTAGGCAACAAGAAAGGAGGATGATGGGAAGGATGCAGAAAGAGCAGCTGAATTCTAGGGACAGGACGATTGCCTTTGGTGCTTTATTATATTACACGTTGTTTGCCATCATGTTTGCTATAACTGTTAGCAAATATCTGATGGCTCATGTAGGTTGTAGAGATTTTATTCAACGCACAAACAATTATTTCAAAACTAACTTGTGGGGATGGGTTAGAATCCACTGTCCAATACCCAGTAATTTTTGGGCACTAAGCTTTAGGGATGGATTAGAGTTGCCCTTACCCTGTGTATCTGGAGTTTTTGCATCTGAAAGGAGCACAAGAGCTAGCCCAGCCACACAGGTCCCTGCCCCCAGAAATTGCCAGAAAGAATATCTCGTGCCTAGTGCGTACCAGGTGAGTATGATGGCCCATACAACAGTCCAACAATCCAACAATGTTACGCTGGTGATGGATGAGTACTGGTACGCCTCGGTAACTGCAACGGAAGTTTGAGGTTTATAAGATGGTTATATATGTTCATCACCAGGAGCAAGGATTGCATTTAGTATCTAACTGAAATCCATATTGCTTGTTGTACTCACCCAGATAGTTCCCCTGGACATCGACGAAGGCCAGCACTAAGTACCAATACCAAGGTATCTACAAGACACGAGCGGCCAAAATAGTGAGACGTGAAACCACATCAGGTAAGCTCCACGGTTGATTTTCATACAGCTATGCTCACCCGCAGCTTCTGTCGTCGACGCAAGAGGATCGGCACATAAACTAAGGTCAACAGGAGATGTGTGCAGAATGATTGCGTGAGTGGTGTGTCAACTCCTGCATAAATACATGGAATTATATGCTTTACCGAGTGATGATTTCTTGCGTAGGAATTAGGCCAATGCGGCAGATGGGTGATTGAGTAAGAAGATTAGCAAGTGCTGTATGAAATGATAATTTGGATATATGGAGATTGCTGAGAAGGATGGTACCGAGATTGGCGATGAAAGAGGAGGCGAAGCTGCAGGCCGCCATGGAGAAGGCCACGAGCTGGCCAAGGAAGAGCACCAGCAGCAGGCGCCATGCGTCGTCCTTGGTCCGGATCTCCATGGGCCTGCCTGACCAAGGTGCACGCTGAAAACACAAGCCTCAGATTTGTATTAGATGCAGAGGAGAGTCTCCATGGGCCTGCCTGCGCATGGATCGAGCAGCACGCCAGTATGTGACGGGTCCATTGATTTATGTTTTTCTTTGTGCTATGAGGTGTCTGGATCTCATCATTTAAGTGAGCAGCTCGTGTCTCATTAATTCCTCTCCTGTCGAGGCATCCGGCCGGGCCTGTTTTGGTTTTTGATTCACTACTGCAACTGCCTGAAAGGAGTAGACAGTAGACAGTTGGCAGTTGGCAGTTGATACGCCCATGTCAGATTTGCTGCAGGGAAAGGGAGAGGATCTGATGGAGTCTGCTGGTAGGCATGTTGGGACAGTATTGAGCAGACGAAACGAAATATCCGCTGCATATAGATATGCAAGTACGTCAGATGAGTACCAACCATATTTATTCATAAATAAGCTTTACACCAATACAAAAAAGCGCAATTTGATGCTTGTGGCGGGATTTTTGGCACCATGGCCGTCAGTCAAAACATGACAAAATATTCACTCCCCTGTACTAGGTTTCATCTGCATTAGCAAAACATCAAAAAGAAAAATGCTTGGAACTAGTAATCTCCACCGTGACACTTATTCCAATCTGAATATACAATATTTGCAAATAAACTTATTTTGCACTAGGCAGGCAGCTCACACATGGAGCTCGTCGGCACCTGCTCAGGGAGTATAAACAGACATGATTAGCAGTTTGATTCACAGCAGGGGTACGACAGACGGATATTTAAAAAAAAAAGAAATTTGTAGCAAATAATTCAAATTGTAGCTGTTGAAGGAACGTCGCCTTTCACTCTAATTTTCGGCACACAGGTTGCTTGTGGTAAAATCCTGTTACTTTTCCATATTTTAAGCTTTGCTAGTGCATGCTTTTGGTATAATCCGCAGAAAAAGTTTAAAAATCTTGTTCTGGCTAGCATGAAAATAGGATAGATATATCCGACTACGTGGTAACTGTAGTATTTTTAGTCTGCTGTTCTGAGAGTTCACTAGATTATATCCTTGTTTTCCAAACAGAGACCTACTTTTCCAGGGCATCTTATAAAATAAGTTAAGCACAGCACAGTTTAGCGACCACAAACCGTGCCTTTGCGGTACAAGGTTGCTTGCTGTTTAGAATACCCACATACAAGCTTACTGGCGTGCAGCACGCCAGTATAGGAGCTCAAGGCACTTGGTTTGACTAGTAGATATATATGTGTACCTAAATTAACCAACCTAAGAGCTCCTTGAGCCTTAAAGTGGAAAAAGAGCCGACGAGGACATCACAAATGTATTTGAACCAACCATATCATTTTGACGCAGTACAGACTTGAACTCTATAAGTTATGATGATGATAACTTGGAAAGATTTAGCACACATAAATGCATTTCATATAGCCAGAAGTTGAAGAGGACACTTTTAGACTGTCAAAGAAAAGAAAAAAAAACTAAATAGCAGGAAAAAATTGCAGGGTAGTATGATTGGATCTGACTGGTATTAGAAAAGAGCACACAAATTTTTAGCTAACACTAAAAGGATATTAGCCTAATGAAATAATGCTAATAGCTTCAGTTCTCATTTGATTAAGATGCATGGGCCCTACCGGGACAATATCCAGATCGAGTTCAATAAATGTCCTGTATAGATAGATGCTCATGGAAAGAAAACAAATTAAGATTTTCACCTCCCTAGCAATTTCAGAGATGTTACCTCCCTCCATAGCAGCTTTCGTATAGAGTGATCGTGGCTTATTATTCAATGCAGATTGATCCGCAGCTCCCGTATCTCTAATGTGGTAGAAACTCGTTAATTGTTGCGGATAACAATGTTAGGCCCTGTTCTGTACAGTATGGAACCAGAATCTCCCAGGCCAGCAACACACCTGTAAAGTCTTCTTCTCTTGTTTTTCTGGACCTAAAAATGTTTCGAATGAATGAACCTTACTTAAGAAAGCCTGCAAACAACCACACCATCCCCTCCTCGTGATCATTGGAACATATCTATCAGTCCCCAAACCACCATAATTGCAAGTTCCAACACAGGAAGGATACACAAGTGAGGCTCGATGAGGGCAAAGGCCTCCATATATATATGCACCAGAAAGCAAAGTTTCTGCTTCCTGAAAATTTGTACCATACTACTAAAGCCTCTAGCCTGAGTTCTAGGTATTAGACAAAGCAATAGTGCCAGGCTTTCGAACAAGCCCTGGGACATCCATCAAGAAGACATGACATAGAAGCTACACATGGCAAGAAACAACATCATAGCATACCCGGACCAACTACAACAACCTCGGCCAAATTGAATAACATGTAAACAATCTGCCAGGAAACAATTTGAAGCAAAAGTAGAGCACGAAAATGACATGCTAGACTACTCCATAATTACAACCAGGACCATGGATAGATAGAGCAAAACCATGTTTTCAAAACACCGTTACTGAAGTATCTCAAATTATGCATGGATTACTCTGTAGCAACATGTTTACATGGCAACAAAATTACAGCAGAACAGAAACTAAAAGCAGCGTTAACACGAAGCCTAGTTTGCATGCTTGTGCTAATCACCACATTGATCACAAAAATATATGGTAAGCACCTCTGTAAAGAAGACATAGCCTAGTTCAAAACACATTTAGGGACCAAGTCCATAGGATGCACACATCAATCATGGCAAAAATGACAAAAGAGCTCGTGCTGATAAGAATCTGAAACTAACAATATGAAGCCCTCTTCCAACAGCATTTCGGGCATCAAGATGACCTCAAATGCAAAAGATGCAATAGAAATAAATGATGTACTCTTCGAGACGAACAATTTGACATATTACACGCACGAAACGGAGCTATGGGTGCGAAGATGTGATGCGATGAACATGCAATGATTTTTACTGCAGAAAATGACTTAGTGGAAAACCGAGAGGGGGAAAAGTCAACCGGCCGATCTGGATCTGACGCGAGGACCGAGGCGGCGGCGCGGCTCGCCGGAGACGGGGATGACGGCGGCCGGAGTCGGGGCGCGGGAGGTTGGAGGAGAGGCCGGGGCGGCTGCTAGGGGCGCCGGCGGCGGCGGTTGCCGGAGCGGGCGACGACGCGGAGGACGGGCGGAGTCGGAGGCCGGCGGCGATGGGGTCCCGTGGCGGCGGCGCGCCGAGGCGGCGGTGCGGAGGA